GCGGAGGAGGAGGCAGAGACGGAGGAGGAGGGAGGAGGAGGAGGAGGAGGAGGTAGGAGGAAGGAGGGAGGAATGAGGAGCGAGGGGCGAGGAGCGAGGGGGAGGAGGAGGAGGAGGAGGAGGAGGAGGAGGAGGAGGAGGAGGAGGAGGAGGGGGAGGAGCAGGAGGCGGAGGAGGAGGCGGAGAAGGAGGCGGAGGAGAGGCCAGAGAGGATAGGGATGGCCGACGAAGCTCGACCGGTCGGGAGGCGGCCAGGGCCAGGAGCTGCCAGTGTGGGGGGCACCCGCTGCTGGGGGCGGGGCGGGGGGGGGCGCACCCCGACGCGCGGCCTGTGGCCGGCGATGGCAGGGGAGGGCGGACGGGCCAGCGAGAGTCCAGCAGTGGCGGGGCGGCTTGGCGTGCCTAGAGGCCCACCAGAGAATGCTGCAAGAACCTTGTAGGGTCTGCACGAGATGTTCTTGGAACACTCCTGGATGAGACTGTCTTGGTTCGACACATCGGGCTTCTGCTCTGAGGACACTCATGTTGTTCTTCGAATGTTTTGGGGTTCTAAGAACACCTCGTGGTAGGCTTATAGGAATGCCGGGACGTTTCGGTCCCTGCTCAAGAGAGGGGAAGGGGGGGGGGTAGGATCGGCGGAGAAAAATCGATATACACATGTTATGTTGGCGCTCTGCGCGGACTTCTTGGATCCGCGCTGGGACCCACATGGTGGCGCCTCCTGCGCCGCCCCTGGCGCGCTCCGCGCTGCGCGCGCCAAGGGGGGGGGTGTCCGGCACAGGTCCAAGAAATCTGCGCGGAGCGCCAAACGTTTATGTTTATGCAGCCTGCCCAAGGGGCCTCCGTGTGTGTGCTTCGTGTTTGGGCTTTCCACCCCGGTGTGCTCTTCGTCGGGGGACATCTCCACGGTGCATTGGTCGTTCCGCGAAGCGGCTGGTGTTCTCGACTCGCGCTTATGTGGCCATGTTGCGACTGTACTTCTCATCCTCCTCTTCCATCTTCCGGGTCTTGCTCCAGGGCATACATCCAGCGATCAGCCATCAACCATGAGGCGAAGGATAACATTGGCACCGAACGTGTTGGCACTGGGGCAGCATTGTTCGCTGGCTTCTGGAGAGGTCTACCAGCTCGACAAGCGCCCCCTTCCAAAAGCTGATTCACTCCAGGGCCTCACGGCCTTCGCTGTCGGCGTGCCTCTGGATGGGCTGCAATGACGGCCCCTGTGGTGAATTCAGGGAGGTGCTGGCGCATTCCACGGACGCCAGGAAGGATGGCATGCACCTCCCGCTGATCAGCGAGTTAGATCTCGACGCTCTCATCTGAGGAAACTCGATTTGCGTCTTGAGCGAGGAGCTGTTTACCACTTTCGCCCCCAGCCCCCTCCTCGAGGAGGAAAGGAAGAGAAAATGCCCCTAACGGTCCAATATGTCTCTGCTGACTTGCTATGAATTCCAATGGATGCTATAAGATCGAGCGAACCCTCGATTACGAGTGGCAGGAGGAACAAGAGGAGGTTCCCACAACAGGCAGCGATTTCGGAAGCCGGCCGTGAGGCCCGGAACAGCACGGGGCATCCCCCCGTTGAGAGTCTGCCGTCCCTGACCAGGCGGCCAGCAGACATGCCTCGCGCGGCTACCGCCAGTGGCAGGGGTCACGAGGGTGTCCGCGTTTCCTTCAGCTCGGACGTGTCGCGGTCGGCTGCGCTCGGTCGACTCGGCTCGGTCGGTTGTCGCGCCGCGGTCGTGTCGCTGCGCCCTCCCAGGCGGCTTGCGGCTAAGCAGCCTCGGCCGTCGTCGGTTTCGCATTGGCGGTGCGGTCGGTGTTCTGCTGCGGCATGGACGCCCCTGGGTCAGTCGCGCCCTGCTCGCGCTCCTCCTGCGGCCTCGTCTCCCGCTTCGTGCACCCCGTCCTCCTCCTCCTCCTCCTCCTCCTCCTCCTCCTCCTCCTCCTCCTCTTCTTTTCCTCCTCCTCCTCCTCCTCCTCCTCTTCCTCCTGCTCCTCCTCCTCCTCTTCACTCCTTTTCCTCCTCCTCCTCCTCCTCCTCCTCCTCCTCCTCCTCGTCCTCCCGCATAAACAAAGACGAGTTGGAGGCGGCCAGGGGGTTCGAATTGGCTGGCACCCGCGTAAGCCGCCGCGTAAGGTCGCCGTGTCATCTCGCGTGGGACCCGTATTATTTGATCGTCGTGCACGTGGGATCTTCGGCGTCCTCCACTGCGTGGCATCCGACCCCGATCCAGATCTCTGTGGCGGTTTTGAGGGCCGCCTCGGCGTTCGCGACGGCCACAAGTCGGCACTTCCCAGCCAGCCCCCAGATCTGCGATGTAAGCGGGGCTCATAGTTTCAGTCCAGCATCTGATGATGAAGCCTCACCTGTGAAAGCTGGGACAACGTTTCGTAACCAAGTTGCCAGAAATCTCTCCAATTTTCTTGATCACGTTCGTCCCTCCAGCGTTAACAACAGAAGCTGGTTCCGGCGTCTCACATGAAACGTCCAGAGGCTGGCCCATATGCATGAAATGGTAGTCTTCTGGACCATATGTTTGTCTCACTGTAGTGGGAAAGAGTTGCCAATCCATGTCAGACTTGGGCAGGCAATTCTAGTCTGGCTAGGTCATCGACAACAAAATAATCCCTCACCCGAATAACACAGTGAAGGCATGGTCTCACTGAGGTCCCCGTCCTTGCATCAGGGATTATAAATATGATAAGGCTCCTATCCCTAATGTTCTGGCCCTCCTAACTTTTGCTCCCCTTCCAAAGGGCTAGGGGTACTTTGAATGTTTATCGCCAGGGGCCGATCATCACGCGATCCCTGGCACAGTAGTGCAAAGCAGGGCTGGGCCTGATAGCTGTTCTACTGGACTTCGGCCGTGTCTTGTTTTTCGTTTTGGGAGGGAGGTGCAGGAAAACAGGCAGAGCAAACCGAAACACACGTCGAGCACAAAACGAACGGTGCTGTCTGTTATTCATCATTTCGCCGATCGGCGCGGGCCCCCAACCCCACCTTCCCCCCCCCCCCCATGGGAGTAGATCTTGGCTGTGTTCTGGCGCCTGCTTCGAGCAGGTGCAGTCCCTCCCCCACGGGGCGCACTGCTGCAAGCGGCCGCGCTGAGCAGAGGTCCAGGGCCAGACGCCCCCTCCCCTCCCCCTCCCTTGTCGCCCAATGCCGGATACGCCGGACAACAAAAAAACGCGTCCTCCCTCCTCCTCCTCCTCCCCTCCGCCTCCTCCTCCCCTTCCTCCTCCTCCCCCTCCCCCTCCCCCTCCTCCCTCCTCCCCTCCTCCTCCTCCTTCTCCTCTCCTCCTCCTCCTCCTCCTCCTCCCGGCCGGCGGCCTCAATCCCCACGGCTCCAGGATCGAGGTCGGTTCGGGGCAGGGTGCTCTCCTTGTTCAATGTATCCTCTTCCTCTGCTTCTCCACCACCTCTCCTCCTCCCCTTCCTCCTCTCCTCCTCCTCCTCCTCCTCCTCCCCCTCCTCCTCCTCCTCCTCCTCCTCCTCCTCCTCCTCCTCCTCCTCTACCTCCTCCTCGTCCTGCGCCACCTCCTCCTCCTCCTCCACCTCCTTCTCCTTTTTCCTCCTCCTCCACCTCCACCTCCTCCTCCTTCTCCCCTCTTGCAGGAGGGGAAAGAACGCACAGGCAGAAGTCGTCGTCGATTCCAAGGAGAAGATGGGAAGCTCTGGGAAGTGGGGTGGGGAAAGAAGACGAGGCCCCAGGAGATGTGGAAACATGTCGGGGATCCTGGGGTTTGCGTGTATCTATCTGCGTGTTTCTGGGCGCCCTCAATGTTTTTCGTTCTCATTGGATGCTCTTGTGTATCCTGGGGGCGGGCACCCTCGCATGCTCTTCAGTTTGGCCAGCGAAGGGATTCATGTTCTTGAATTCGCGCAGCCACGTCTTCTTCAGGGAAGCGTCGAGACCAAAATTGGTGCCCGAAGACCAGCCCCAGCCCCGAAGTTTTTCGGCCGCGCCCGAGGGTGACCGAAATGCTTGGCTCGAAACCGACACGGCATCCGATGTCGGTCACAAGTTCTGGCCACGCTACGTTTTCGGCCGCAGCTTCGGGCACTTGTACCAGCCGAGAGGAGCCCTGTGGCAAGAGAAAGAGAGAAGAACGGCGGTTACGAAGAGAGACGACACGACGAGCGGAGCAGGGAAGGGGAATTGGGGGGGAAGCGGCAAGGGAATTACGGTAGGTTCGCGTCGTGTCGACCGGCGGCGACCCCGCCGCCGACATTCAACGTTGAACGCCGACGGCGGCCCAGAATCGGTCGATGTTGAACGATCGGACGTTGCGGTGACGGCCGATCGTTCAAGGTAGAACGATCCAGCGCGGTGTCAAAACCAACGCTGGGGTCGGCACGACACGAACCTGCCGTACGCGCTGGGCGCGCGCGCGCGCGCCCGGTCACAACTTCGGGCACGTATTCGGTTACCGACCGTGTTCGGGTGAGGCAACGTTTTCACGACATCGATGCCGTCAGCGACAGCGACGGCAGGACGAGAAGGAGGAGGACGAGATGGAGGAGGACGAGGAGGAGGAGGAGGAGAAGTTTGGCCGATCGGTGCATTGCTCTTCTGTCCTCGGTCCGACCGTACCGGTGCGGTCTCCTCGGCCCGCGGCCGCGGGGAGCGCCGCGCCGGGCGGCTGCTGCTGATCTGCCCCGGAGCACCCCCAGCCCTGTCTCCTCAGCGCACGCGGCCTGGGCGTCGCGTGCAGTGGAGGCCCCTGCGAAGGAACACCCTGCTTGCTTCCAGGGTGGCCTGGGCTTCTTTCTTGGTTTTCGATGGTTTCTCGCGAGGGAAGGCGTGCTGAGGGTTGGGCTTCCTGTGGAGGGGTTCTTGTGGACTGGGCTCTACTGTAATGGGGGGGGCGATACAGTTGAGGCCCATGCCAGGAAACACCCTGCTTGCCTCCAGGGTGCCCTGGGTTTCTGTGGTTGTTCTAGGGTTTCGCGATGTAAGGCGTGGGGTTTCCATTCCAACAGAAGCCATGGACATCCTGGTGTCTCAGGTCGTGGAAGGTTTCTTGTGGACTGGCCTTCGCTGCCAGGAGGGGTGGTAACTGGGGGGGTCAGCGAATGCTGCAGAAAAGGAGGCCCGTGAGGGCCCCTGCAAAGGGCCCTCTGTCAAGCAGTGGCGAAGCGTCTTGGCTCGCCAAAAGGCCCTATAGGCCTACAAAAGAATTGTCTAAGAACCTCGTGTGATTTGCAAGAAATGTTCTTAGCACATTTCTGGCTGTGACGGTCTTGTTATAACACATAGGGTTTATGTTCTAAGAATAGGTGTTTTTTCTTACTAGAACATTTCTGGGTTCTAAGAACACGTCGCGGTAGGCCAATAGGAATGCCGAGACGGTCGGTCCCTGCTCAACTATGGGGCCCCCACGGGGGGCGTTGCAGGGCCCGAGAAGTGTGCCGTTCTCCCCCCCAGTTGTAAGTCGGGCGTGCCCCTCTACAGTAGAAATCATCAAATATAGTTGAACATTGTCGGGGAACGATTTCTCTACGCATGTTCGACGTGTGCTGCATATGTTTTGATTATTCTCCATGAAGCCAGAATCCGCCTGTAGAAGAACTTGCCCGAACGAGCCCCAGTTGTCGCACCCCCACTGAGCGACGCCCCGGGCCTTACCGACGCCTGCCGCTGCTCCCCCTCCGGGCGCCCGCGGCCCCCGTAGCCCCCCTTCCGAGTTGCGGCGACGGACACCTCTGGAGCGGCACCCCTGCGGGCACCACCGGCCTGCCTGCCGCTCAGCACCTCCCAGGGGAGGCGGTATGCAGAAAGGAAGAGAGAGAGAGAGAGAGAGAGAGAGAGAGAGATTCAGACCCAGACCCCCTCGAGCAATGAAAAAATCACGACGGGAGGTTTTTCCCCGTTTTCGGCCTCTGGGGGCCTTTGCCGGGCCTCGGGACCGTCAAAAAACGACTCGGGATGAAAAACCGATCCCGGGGAATAGGTCGAAACCTCTGGGGGCCGACGTCATGAAAAAATCATGACGTCGGGGGTCTGGGGAGGAGGAACAGGTCCGCTACTCTCGGCTCGTTTTCCCCTCTGCGGCCTCCCGGGAGGCTCTCGCCGCCAACGCCGGATGCGCTTCGAAGTGGTGGTCCGAAGCGCCCCTGAAGAGGTCCGGGGAGTGGCGGTATCGGTACCTCCAGGCTTCCCCAGGGGAGGTGATACGCAGAGAGAGAGAGAGAGAGAGAGAGAGACAGAGAATGAGAGAGAGAGAGATGGTCAAACGAGCGACCAGGTGTCGAGGAGGTAGATACGTAAGGGTAGGGGGAGATGGGGAAGGGTATAGTCGCCGATAGAAAGGACACGCATACAGATTGTACACGTTGTTGCAAATATGTTCCCCAAACGGTGCTTGCCCTTAGGGTTTCCTACTTCTCGTCTCAGAAACCAGGCCTGTGCGACGGTCTGGCGGCTACGTAGTCGCCGTCGCTGCCCCGTCGCCGCCTCGTCGCCGCCCATCGTTTGGGCCTGTGCGTCGGCCTGGCGGCTATGTAGTCGCCGTTGCTGCCCCATCGCCGCCGGTCGTCTTGGCATGTGCGTCGGTCTGGCGGCTATGTCGTCGCCGTCACCGCCCCGTCGCGGCCTCGTCGCCGCCCCGTCGTTTTGCACCACGCATATTGTTCACACCGACTGGACAACGTACATGGCACCAAATAAAGTGCACCGCGTAAGCTGCACGACGTGGATAGCTCCACATCGACTGCACACAATCAATCAATCAATCAATGTATCACCTGGTTGCGTGGCTGAAGTGGAAATCCGTGGTCAGGATTATGCTTGTTGCGTTGTTGTTGAATTCTCACTTCTGAAGAATAATAATTGTTGATCCCCCCACAGGTGCATACTGCTTTGTTCTCAATTAAAGTGTGCCCCTCGACGCTCGCACCCTGTTTTTTGACAGGGAAGGTCTTCCTGCTCAAACTGGGCCCCTGGCCCCTGGGTTACAACAACAACGCCTCCCGCCTGAGATTGCCTTACAATTTAGCCAGGACCCCCGCTCCCGCCCGAGATTCTCTCGCATGTTATTCAGGAATCGCGCTCTCGCTTGGGACTTCCTTACAGTTCATTCAAGAATCGCTCTCCCAGCGCTCTGGAGTCGCGCTCTCGCTGGAGACTTTCTTACTGAAGAATGGCCTTGCGTTGGAATTTCTTGCAATTTGACCAAGCGCCCCGCTCCCGACACCCAGGCACCCACCAGGAGTCGCGCCCGTTGTGGCCCCATGTGCATGCCCTTCGTGGCTCCGCTGTCGCCATTTGCGTTCCCCTCACTGTCCTACGTGGCCCAGTTGCTACCCTCAGTGGCCCCATAGTTGCCTTCTGCGGCCCCGCATTATCTGCACTTCGTGGCCCCCGCTCGTTCGCTCTCTTCGTGGCCCCATACGCATTCCCTTCGTGTCCCCGCTGTCGCCCTTCGTGGCCTACTTCGTGCCCTTCGTGGCCCTGCTGTCGTTTTCTCTCGCTCTCGCGTTCGCTCGTCGTCGCCATCATCGTCGTCGTCGCCGTCGTCTTCGACGTCGTCGTCGACGTCGTCGTCGTCATGGTCGGTCCCCTGTCCGTCCCTCTGGGGTTCGGGTCGACGGTCCGCGGCCGCCCCACCGATCAGCGCTGCCGCTGGCCAGGCCGACGGTCCGCGGCCGTCCCGACGCTTGCCGGGGCCCGGCCTGCAGGGAAGAAAGGTATACCCCCCAAAAAGGGTTCGATCGAAGACGAAGAGGGAGGGTATCGAGGGTTTGGGAAACACGCGTGAGTGGACACTCGAGCATATCAGGGCGAACGGTCTTAAAATTATTGGTGTTGTTGTTGTTGTTGGTTGTCGTCGTCCCCCCCGCGACCCACCCGCGACCCACCCCACGACCCACCCGCGACCCACCCCGCGACCCACCCCGCGACCCACCCCGCGAACCACCCGCGACCCAACCCGCGACCGACCCGCGACCCACCCCGCGACCCACCCGCGACCCACCCCGCGACCCACCCCACGACCCACTCCGCGACCCACCCGCGACCCAGTCCCACCCGCGACCCACCCGCGACCGATCCACATTAATTTGAAGAAAAAGTCGGCGCCTGCGGCGGGCTCGTTGTACAATTTGTTCAACGTTAGCGCCTGTGGCGGGCTTCTCCAGGCCGACATCCCCAACGCCCCCATCACTCTTATCCGCATCTGCAAGGTGCTACGCATATGTGTATATACATATATATGTATATATATATATATATATAAATATACATATATATATATATATATATATATATATATATGTATATGTGTATATGTATATGTATATGTATATGTGTATCCATATACAACAAAGTGAACGGGGCCGAACGGTCATCTGTTGTTCCTGGGTGCGTGGCTGAAGTGAAATTCCGAGGTGAGGATTATGCTTGATGCGTTGTTGTTGCTGCTGTTATTGTGATTGTTATTGTTGTTGCTGCTGTTGTTGTTGTTGTTGTTGTTGTTGTTGTTGTTGTTGTTGTTGTTTGTCGTCGTCTCCCCGCGACCCACCCCGCGACCCACCCCGCGGCCCACTCCGCGACCCACCCCGCGACCCAACCCGCGACCCACCCTGCGACCCACCCCGCGACCCACCCGCGACCCACCCACGACCCCCCGCGACCCCCGCGCCCACCCCGCGACCACCGCGACCCACCCCGCGACCATCCGCGACCCCGCGACACCCGCGACCGCCCGCGACACACCCGCAACCACCCGCAACCACCCACCCGCGACCCACCCCGCGACCCACCGCGACCCCACGACCCACCGCGACCCATTCACATCGGTTTGAAAAAACGGCCCCTGCGGAAGGCTCGTTGAATAACTTGTGAAACTCTAACCCCGCGACCACCCGACCCACCCGCGACCCACCGCGACCCACCCTGCGACCCACCCGCGACCCACCCCGCGACCCACCCCGCCACCCACCCGCGACCCACCCGCGACCCACCCGCAACCGATCCACATTGGTTTGAAGAAAAATCGGTGCTTGCGGCGTGCTCGTAGTATAATTTGTGGAACTTTAGCGAATGCGGCGGGCTTCTCCAGAATCTCGCAGACTGCCGACGTCCCCGCCGCCCCCTCACTCCTATCCGCATATTAGGGGTGCTACGTATACATACGTACAGCTCTGTGTATATATATATATATGTATATATATATATATATATATATATCAGATCGAGTTGGCCGATCGGCTTGAGTGAAAATCAGTGGTGAGGATTATGCTTGTTGCGTAGTTGTTGTTGTTGATGATGTTGTTGTGTTGTGCTGTTGTTGCTGTTGCTGTTGAACTTTCGTTTCTGAAAATAATAAGTGTTGATCCCCCCCGTCTGGTGCACATTCTTTTTTCTATTGAAGTGCCCTTCCCAGGGCTCGCACCTGGTTTTTGTATTAGGGAAAGTATCGAGGGTCAAACAGTGTCGTTGGCCCCCGGATTACACCACCAACAACAACGGCTCCCGCCTGATACTTCCTCACAATGTATTGAAGAATCGCGCTCTCGCTTGGGACTACCTTGCAATTTGCCACCGGATCGAGGCTCCCGCTCGATACTTCCTCACTCTCACTTTGGACTTCCTCGCAACTTACCACCGCATCGCGGCTCCCGCTTGATACTTCCTCACACTTTATTCAGATGTCGCTCCTCAACACTCAGCAATCGCGCTCCCGCTACATAGTGCCTGGCGGTTCAGATCAAAATTTACGCTTCAACGATCCGCCCGCTCGACCCGCCCGTCCAGGCGCGCCCGCCCGACCAGCCCGTTAGGGACTGAAGTCGCCGCTCGCTGCCCTTCGCCCGCATTCGATGCCTTTCGCTGCCCGTACTGGTTCCGCGGTCGCCTTCGCTCGCTGCTGTTTGTGGCCTCGTTGGTGCACTCAGTGGCCCCGTCGCTGCCCACTGTGGCCCCGCATTATATGCCCTTCGTGGCCCCCGCTCGCTCGCGCCCGTCGCGGCCCCATACGCATGCCCTTCGTAGCCCCGCTGTCGCCTTTCGTGGCCCTCTCGCTGCCGTTCGTGGCCCCTTTGCTGCACTCAGTGGCCTCGCTGTCGCCCTTTGTGGTTCCATATACGAATGCCATTCGTGGCCCCCGCTCGCTCGCGCCCGTCGTGGCCCCATATGCATGCCCTTCGTGGCCCCGCTGTCGCCGTTCGTTGCCCCCTCTTTGCCCTTCGTGGCCCCGTTTCTGCCCTCAGCGGCCCCGTCGCTGCCTTCTGTGGCCCTGGATTAATTGCCCTTCGTGGCCCTCTCGCTCGCGCCCTTCGTGGTCCCATACGCATTTGTTTCGTCGCCCCGCTGTCGCCATTCGTGGCCCCATCGCTGCCCTTCGTGGCCCACTTTGCTGCCCTCAGTGGCCCCGCTGTCGCCCTTTCTGGCCCCATATATGTATGCACTTCGTGGCCCCCCGCTCGTTCGCGCCCGCGGTGGCCCCATATGCATGCCCTTCGTGGCCCCGCTGTCGCCATTTGTGGCCCTCTCTCTGCCCTTCGTGGCCCCGTTTCTGCCCTCAGCGGCTCCGTCGCTGCCCTCTGCGGCCCCCTATACGTATGCCCTTCGGGGCCCCCGCTCGGTCGCGCCCGTCGTGGCCCGCGCCAGCAACGGTTCCCGCCTGATGGTTCCTTCCAGTTTATTGAAGAATCGCGCTCTCGCTTGGGACCTCCTTGCATTTTACCGCCGAATCGCGGCTCCCGCCTGATACTTCCTCACAGTTGATTGGGGAATC